TGGCTCTGTTCCGGGAGGTGAGGTGGGGAATAAAACCAGCGCTGGCATGAATCAGACTACAGAGGTAGAATCCCGGGCATTCTAGGCCGCCTGGAAACAACACGGAAAGACACTCTGAGAACTACTCAGACCACAAAGGACGCGGAGAGCAGAATCACAGCGCAGGTGAAGCCCGGCCGATCGCCCACACCCTTCCACATATAGCTACTTCCCATTCCATGAAGCCTTTCCAATGTTTAGTGGCTCGATGACTCACGCCAAGTCCAGGGTGTGCGACTTGTGCTTGATCAGAGCAGTCTGGGTAGCAACGGTGTGTGAATCACTTACTCAAACTTTCCCGGGTGAGAACAAACAATGCATTTACTTCAATCTGCATTCAGGTTCCCCCACTTGTTGGCTGTGTGACTATAAGCAAGTTACTTAACCTCTCTGTTCTTCAGTTTCTGCATCTGAGGAAACCATGAGGATAGTAAGAGTCCCTGATGTGCAGGGCTGATGCAAGCATTACGTGACCCACACACACCAAGCACCCAGAGTGCCCACGCACAGGGACCACTAGGGGAAGGCTGTGCTTCTTCCTCATATCACTATAAAACAGTACTTCACTATCCTCATAATCCATAATCTCACTGGATGGCTTTCCGATTCTGGAACACACACACATTCACTCTTGCCCTGGCCAGGCCGCTGGTCACTCTGGCAGGTGTGACTGCAAACACGCATCACTGGACTTACAAAACTACGAGGGAGTGAATGCATGAGTCTCTAAAGGAGAGGCTTAATTAACGAGTGCATAACACTCCACCGTGAAGAGGCATAATAAACAAGCGTATGAAAGTCCACAATCCTACCAGCCACAAGCAACGGCAGGACCAACTAGGAATTCCCATGGTACCGCAACAAACTCTCCAGTGCCGCTGTCCCTGCCCCAAGCACCACTATGGGGTAATACCACACACCACTCTGTGGACACGAAGTGAATTCCTGGAGGCATGGGGTCGGTTCTCCCACGAACACCAGCCACCAGGTGCCCAGGCCAACCCTGCCATGGCCTGGCTTTCCGCCGGGTGTTCGGGGCATAGAAAGAAAGATATCTTGTATTACTGCAGAGAGACCATGAGGCAGTGACTTGGCCAAGGTCATTCAGAGGAGGGAACAGCCAGGATGAGCACCCAAGGCTTCTGCTTCTACTCAGGCTCCCAACACAGAAGACAGTCGGCTCTCCTCCCGTCAAAGTGCCCTTGAGTGCAGCACCAGGCCAGACAGAGGTGCCACCCAGGCTCCGAGGCCCAGCATGAGGCGGACACCAAGGGACAGAGAAGACAATCACAGAACAGCCAGTGGTGTTGACAAGAGCTGTGATCCCATCTGAATGAAATGCAATTAAATGCACTTAGTCCTGCATCGTGGTTAACCCTGTGTAACTTCTTCATGTCACATCATTAAGGAAAACTGCTTTTAGGGCGTCGACACCTGGACAACTGAGGACATGTCACGTGCTGAGGCCACACCTAAACAGCCTTCCCCACGGAAATGCTGGCCTGAGCGGGAGCCAAAAATAAACTGAAAAGCCAGTCCCCGAGGGACTTGTCATCAGGGACACTATAAACACACACACACACACACACACACACACAGAGCCTCCCAAAAGCAGGGGGAGCCCAGACACACAGCTTCAACACAGGCATTAAGTCTCAAGCCGAGCGAGACCCTGAATCTGAGGCAACTGCAGGCAAATGACAATGCACAAGAGACGGGACAGCAAACTAAAGCTGAAGCATCCACAGGAAGCTGGCAAAAAGAAAGCTGAACTTGACTTTGATCTGACAGGCAGCAGGCCCGCTCTCCCTGACAGTAAGCCACTGTGCAACTGTGACAGGTGGAGGCCAGGGAGCCCAGCCATGTCCAGCCGGCGCTCACGAAGGTTGAGGAGGCTGCCAGCCTTTGGCTTTATTCCAAAATCTTAGTCAAAGGGTGACCATTGATGATGGGGCAGACGCAAGCCTCCGCCCAGGAGACCCGAGGCCAGACGGGAAGAGCTCCCATGCCGCAGGGGTCAGGAGGAAGAGGAAGGGAAGGAGCAGGTAAGGGGCATCGGCCGACTCTTTTCAGTCCTGAGGAAACACAACTCAGGCTGCTGGAAGCCTCAAGAACTGGACCGTGGGTTCCAGCCTAAAGAACTTCTTGTTTTATGTCTGCGGATCGTTTTCGTGGGAGCGGCAGGGAGAGGGCAGGGTTGCCAGCCACTCTTCATCTCCCTTCGTGGCAAACTTGAAAGAAATTCAGAGACTAATAAGCCTTTCCTTGTTGTCCTCCAAATTAATGTGAAACTGCATAAACACTCGAGAACCTACTAAACCCGCCACATTAACCCAACAGTATTTTTTAAATCCCAATAGTAATGTAGAATCCACGAAACACTGCGTAACATGGATGAACTTGGAGGACGTGCTGCTGAGTGAAACCAGTCCACTGTTGTAAAAAGACAACAAAAGGTTTACCTATGGAAGGAAATTTTCTTTGTTAGTTACCAGGGGAGGGAAAACGGCTAGACAAGCTAAAAATATTTATATACCTCACTGGGTGGCAGCTTTTAAAACAAGTTGCCCAAACCTGTCACTACATTATTTGATCAGCAGCTGGGTTTTCAAATCTCATCGCCAGTTTAGTGACCGAACAGGAATCACTGTTAGTCAGTTTTGGTCTCATGGTCCTTCCCTTACAGCACACTGTTACCTCGACGGAATCTGTAAGAGCCAAGTGGTAAGGAGAGAAACCTCCCTAAACCACAGGCCTGCAAGCTCCCAGGACCCACTGGGCCATCCTAGTCAGCGGCCAGAAGCGAAGCAGGAGGGGCACGCATCAAGCAGCACAGGGTCACCTGCCTGTGTGGCTCATGGCGGCTGGGAGCTACCTATCTATTATGTACAAATCTCTGAAAGAATAGAAGTCTTCCTCCCCCCAGGCCAAATAAACCTATTCCCAAGTCCTAGAACCGGGCCTTTCCACGCATAAACGGATGCCACAGTCCAGCACATCCTTGGAATCCCCGTGTCCCTTGGCTTTTTGCTGAGCCTAGAAGCGCAGAAGTACAAACCAAAGAAAACATCACCACCTGAACCACAAAACGGATTTCAACCAACTCAGAGCGAGTCCAAGTGGGCAGCCTGCAAACCTGTCCAAGCCGGTGCCTTCCCGTCGTTTTCTATTCAACTCCAAAGCAAGGATCTGAGGTCCCACTCTGTATGATTACACGTGGTGGGGGAGCCGACCGACACTGTAAACAAAGTTAACCCCCAAAGTCAAAACTGACAGGAACAGCAACTGATGAACACGGCAGCTCCCAGCAGTGAGCTGGGCCCGCCTGGCTCTGAGTCCCTCAGCCAGAGGCCATGACACACGGAAAGAAAGAACTAAGCCCCAAAAGTCACAACCCTCTAGAGAGGATGGTTGGGGCAAACATTTCTTAAAAGCCCACAGAAAGACACCACCAACTTGCCAGAAAGACAAGGCCCACACATGTACGGGGGACCCGCGGGTCCCTCTTCCTGACAGCAATACTGGTGGTAATAGCTAACAAGCCTTCTGCTGCAAAAAGTAACTTATTTTCCACAAACTTTGGCAAATGAGCTCAGAACGTTCTGAGTCAGAGAATCGACTGTCTGATTTGCATCTGAGGGGAAGCTGGGGGTCAAGGGTGCAGACTGGTGTGTGCAGACACACGCATGTTAGCGAGAAAAAGACTGCTGGTACCAAGTCACTTCTGCCACTAGGGAGTGGCAGGCTCTTCCCGGGGCTGGCCCCCTTCCCCTTGCCCGCACCTTCAGTCGCAGACCCCTCTGTAGTGCATGAAGCCCTGCTCTGCCACCGCTTTGTCCCCAGCGTGAGACCCAGACTAACTTCTACAGTGAGGCCTCGCATCACCCAGGCAGCTCCCAGGTCCAGGTCTGATTCCTGCTCAGAAATGTTTTTGGAAGGGGAGGAGGAGGGGGAGAGGAAGTGGGGGTACAAGATACAAGGGGTGTGTGCACGTGTGTGAGTCACTGATAGGAATCCACACTCAGGACAACAAGCCACCAAACCAACCCTGGTCCAAGGTTCCAGGTTCAGATGACAGATCCCTTTGTTCTGTGAAACTGCTCCATTCACTAGCCTCACCCCAATAACATGACTCTCACGTTTGCTTACCAGTCCCCTCAAGGGGGGAGAAAGCCCTTCAGGTTTCCAACTTGGCTGCTCTCCTCCAAGGTTCTCAGTTTCCCTTTTTCACAAAGTCCAAATGCAGCAGCAGCAGCAGCTGTCATATTCTCCCCCAACACTATTAATACCCTGAAGGATTTTACTCACCAAGTTCCCCGCAGCCGTTAAATAGGGCAGGAAGGTAAACCAGAAAAAGCTTAAAGCATTCCGTCACCTAGCGAACTTCCTGGGTTTTTACAGCCGCCAGTTCTCAACCTCCAGCTTTGTTTTGGAACGCCCCCCTCCCCCCCCTGCACGGCCGGGCCCGGCCTTCCTTTATGGATGCACAATGCAGTATGAAGCTCCTTGGGGTCAGCAAAACGCCGCACTGGTGTAATGCCGCACGCGCCTCCGAGCCAGAGTTCCGCGCTGTCGTCGGGGCACGTATCATCTGGAGGCCGTCCCCAACACACAGCACGCTGCCAAAGTCCCCTTCAAGTCGGCGAGCCCGGGGCCGGCGGCCCTGGTGCAATGACTTTGCACTGGAGCGTCCCCTCCGCTGAGGTTCGTCCCCACCCCCTCGGCCCACTGCAGCCGCACCACGCCGGGCCGGGCCTTGCACGCCTTCCCGTCCGCGGCCTGGGGCTGCCAGCGAGCTCCCTTCTCCCTGCAACCTCCAGACAGCGGTTCCCCAGCGCCCTGCAGCCCGGGGAGACCCCCGGCCCGTGCTCCCCGGGTCCCCTGCGCCCCCCCGACCCGGCGGCCCCGCCTCGCGCTCCCCGCCGGCCGCCCCGACCACGCCGTTCGCCCCCGGCCCGCACCTTGGTCTCCTTCACGTGCTGCTTGACGCCCTCCGGGTACCACTGGACACGCACGTAGCCGCGGCGCAGCGGGCTGGCGCGGCCCTCCTCGTGCCCGGGGCCGCCGGCCTCGGAGCAGCCCGAGCTCCCACGGCCCTCTTCCTCGCCCTCCGAGTCTGAGTCCTCGCCGTGGATGAGGCGCACCAGCCCGAAGTGGACCGAGCCGCGGTAACGGCCCGACACCAGGTCGTGAGAGAACAGCAGGCGCTGGGAGCCGGCTTCAGGGCCAGAGTCCGAGGACGGCCCGGAAGCCGAGTCGGGGCCGGAGGCCGGGGCCGGGGCAGGGGCCGCGTCCGGAACCGGGGCCGCGTCCGGAGCCGGGGCAAGGGCCTGGACGGGCGCTGGAGCTATAGGCGCGGGGGCTGCGGCGTCCGCCATAACTGCTGTGCGCGAGTCTCGGGCGGCGGCGGCGGTGGCGGTGAGCGAGGCGCAGCAGACGGGGCCAGCGGGCGCCGTGTTGTGGGCGGGGCCACAGCGCGCTGACGTGGCCCTACGTGCCGCCGTCGTCAGGGAGCCGAGATGCTGTTGCTACGAGCGACCGCCTCGTCGCTAGGGGACGCTGAAGATGCTGCGGGGGACACGGGTGGAATCCACGAGGGAGGGGCGGGGCCGGAGGAGAAAAAGGAAAGACGAGGGCAGGACTAAAGGGAGCTGTGGGGAAGAAGAAGTGAAGGTGTCACCGTGGAAAAGAGGAATGGCCAAGGTGGGGCCCAGGACAGTAGGTGACAGTGAACAACATTTAACGAGCTCCTTGTCCTAGGTGCTCTGAGGGGCACAGAAAGAAAAAGATTCCATCCTTGTCCTCTAGGTGTTTACTTGTGGGGGCAGAACAAATACACATTAAATAGCTTAAAACAACTCCAAGGTGGCTTGCAAACAAAACTATAAATGTAAGTATAGAGTATCTAGGGTGCACTGTGTGTATTAGGGAAGGTCAAGCAAAGCTTGGAAGGCCATGACCCATCAAGGATTAGTCATGGGATTGGTGAAGGAGGCCCAGAGAACAGTCAGAAGGAGTAACAAGCATCAGTGACCCAGCAACATAAGCTAAGGAGCTTTTTTTCCAAGGGAGACTCAATGTGCATGACAAGACATAGTGAAGAATGGGAGCCGTGGATTCCAACTTTTGTCCCTGATGCTTACCAGCATATCAAGGTAGGCAAGCTGGTAAATTTCTTTTCACTTTAATTTTCTCATCTGTAAAATGGTGATAATAGTAGTACAATTGGGAAGATTTAAATGAGAGAGAACTGTCTTTGGTATATAACTTACTCAAGAAAGTTTAACCATTATTATATTTTAAAACAGCCTGCCTCAGTTGGCAGACTGATACACTTAGGGTCTGCTCCATGTTGCCATTTTAAAATTTAAACACTAATTATACTACTTTAATGTGTCCCCTGAGTAAATTCCAAAAGATTCAGATACATTCTCAGAGGACAGATTCATAGCAAGTTGTTACAAATAAATTAAGAGTGCCCAAGATGTAGCCCGAGCTTTGATGATCAAAATCATTTTGTCCACATTCATCTGCAAGATCATCAATGACAGATGAGTAGGATGGTTGATATTATAGTATTTAAGCTCCTCAAAAAGGTAAGCTCCCAGGCATTGGGTAGCTTACAGGTGGCTGAGGATAAAGAAGTACATTCATGGAAAAGTCATAAGAACATGTTTGAAGTACAGCTAGCAATGGGTATCTTTCATGCAAACTGAGTGCATAAGATGCCCATAAGTATTTATAAAGCAGTGGCTAAGGCATTTGATTGCTAACCAAAAGGCTGATGATTCAAATCCACCAGCCACTCCTCGGAAAGAAGATTGGGCAATCTACTTCCATGGAGGTACTGCCTTGAAAACCCAAGGAGGGATCACTGTGAGTCGGATCCGACTCAAAGACAGTGAGTTTGGTCTTTTTTTTTTTTTGCATGTAATATTGGGCTTAGGAGGTTGTCATTGGACCCAGATCTTACAAAATGCGTGTACAAAGATATAGGAAAAAGTGAGGGCTACGTGAGCTGAAGGGGAATTAGGATAATATTTAGGAGTAAAGCTGGGTTCCCAAGTCCTGACCTTCCCATCCCAGACCACAGTGCAGACCCTTCATGATTGTTCCGTGGAATCACTGCTGTGAAGACATTGTTCTCACTCCCTACTCCTCCCCCATAAGGACCTGGGAGGCTTAACAGCGATAACGCAGCAGCTTCTGTTCTCCTACCATGTCCCTTTAGGCCTGTCTCCTTGACGCCCGATAACCTAACATTTCTTTCATTTTTTAATTGCAATTTGAGTGAAAGTTTACAGAGCAAATTGAACATTTACAGAGTTGAATGGTTTTTCCTCAACCATTCATAAAAGTTTTGTTTCATGATATTGAATACAGTCCCCACAATGTAACAGCACTCTCCCCACTTCTTCCCTGTGGTTACCATTTCCAGCTGTCCGTCTTTCCTGTCCTTTCCTGCCTTCTGAGCTTTATCCCTGGGCTAATGCTGCCTTTCTTTTTTTTTTTTTTTTCAATTTTATTGTGATTTGGGTGAAAGTTTACAGAGCAAATTCATTTTCCATATAGCAGTTCATATATATTTTGCTTCATGACATTGACTGCCATTCCCCACAGTGATGCCCATAAGTATTTATAGAGCTTCCCATTTCCTCCCTGTAGTTACCTCTTCCCTGTATCCTTCCTTCCTATGCATTCCTGCCCCCTGAGCCATCTCCCTGGGCAAATACTGCCCTTCTGTTCTCCCATGATTGATTGTTTTAAGGAGGGTATCTACCTGATGTAAATGTGTACCCTACATGTCAGTCTATTGTTCAGCTGGAAACTGTGGGAGTGAGTTCAATTCCAGACCTGAAGAGTAACTAGGGGCCATAGTCTTAGGGATCTCACCAGGCTCTATCAGACCAGTAAACCTGGTCTTTTTTATGATTTTGACTTCTGTTCCACATTGTTCTTCTGCTCTGTCCAGGATCTCCTGCACCGATCCCTTTCTGAGTGGTTGACAGTGGTAGCTGGGCACCATCTAGTTCTTCTGGTCTCAGGGTCATGTAGGCTGAGGTTCACGTGTTCCGTTAGTCCCTTGGAGTAACTGTTTCCATGCATCTTTGGTTTTCTTCATTCTTCTTTGCTCTGGACAAGGAGAGACCAACAGTTGCACCTCAAATGGCTGCTTGCAAGCTTTTATGATCCCAGTCATGACTGACTAATGTAGGATGTAGAACATTTGTGACTGTTAGGGCCAATCAGCCTTGATGTCCCGAATGAACCTAACATTTCTTGAGCGCCAATTATTCACCAGGAACTGAGCTAGGCACTTTCACACACATTATATTGTTTGTTATCACAGCATTCGATATAGGAGTCATTAAGTCCATTTTAAGAACTCTGGTGGCTTAGTGCCTAAAGCATTTGACTGCTAACCAGAAGGCTGGTGGTTCAAACCCACCAGCCACTCGGAAGGAAGGTTGGGAAATCTACTCCCATAGTGATACTGCCTCGGAAACCCAAGGAGGGGTCGTTATGAGTTGGATCTGACTCGACGGCAGTAAATTTGAGTTAGGTGGTGTAGTGTCTAAGGCATTTGACTGCTAACCAGAAAGTTGGTGATTCAAACCTACTAGCCACTCCACGGAAGGAAGTCTGGGCAATCTACTTCTGTAAAGATTTACAGCCTTGGAAACCCAAACAGGGTTGCTGTGAGTTGGAACCAACTCAATGGCAGTGAGTTTGGTTTTTGGTTTGGAAGTCCATTTTACCAATGAGGAAATAGAGCCCAATGCATTCAGTAGATAAGATCACAGACTAGCAACCACTAGAGCCAAGATAGAAACTCAGATCTCCTGACTTTAATTGCGGGGGGAATCCTGGTCTGCATCTGCTGTGGCAGGAGGATATGGGGGTATGAGCCAGTAGGCTCATACATACCCTCAGGGCAGGACAGGGCAGGCCCCCACATTTCCATTATATGTCAAAAATCCAATTGAATCTTACACTCTACTCCAGCTTATGTCTGTATTTGTCTCAATATAAAAATAATGTCTTTCCCTCCTTGAATAACTGAGCAGAATTGACCCTCCAGGAAGATGTTCCATGTTTATTCTCTGGCTTCTTGTAATAACAGCTAATAATAGCTACCATTATTGAGCCGTCACTTCTTGCCAGGTACTGTACTAAGTGTTTCACGTAGATTATCTTCCTTAGTATCACATCAGCCCTGTGAGGAGGGGAGAATGGTCCCGCTTTTGTGAAGCACCATGGCCCGCTGTGTCGCTCCTTCCCACCAGAACCTGCCAGGCTGTAGGTACCCTTCCTTGATTTCAGAGGAGAACTTGACCCTTCTTCTGAGCGCACAGATCAGGACGTACTTGTGGGTGCTATCTTGATGCCTAAAAGGAGCTCTAGTGGTGCAAGTACTCAGCTGCCAAGAAAGGTCTGTGGTTCAAACCCTCCAGCTGCTCCACAGGAGAAAGATGGGGCAGTCTGCTGCCATAAAGAATGTTGTTGTTCTTAGCCCACTGAGTCAGGTATGAGTCATAGTGACCCTGCGTACAGTGGAACAAAACACTGCCCAGGCCTGTGCCATCCTCACAATCCTTGCTAGGCTTGAGCCCATCTTTGTAGCCACTGTGCCTGTCCGTCTTGCTGGGTCTCCCTCTTTTCATTGACCTTTTACTTTACCAAGCATGATATCCGTATCCAGGGACTGGTCCCTCCTGATAACATGACCAGAGTGTAAGAGACTACATCTCAGCATCTTCACTGCCAAGGAGCATTGCAGCAGTGCTTCCTCCAAGACAGATTTGTTAGTTCTTCTCGCAGTCCCTAGTATATTCAATATTCTTCACCAGCACCACAACTCAAATGCATCAGTTCTTCTTTGGTCTTCCTTATTCATTGTCCAGCTTTCACATGCATATGAGGCGATTGAAAAGACCATGGTTTGGATCAGGTGCACCTTAGTCTTCAAAGTGACACCTTTGCTCTTTAACACTTTAAAGAGGTCTTTTGCCCAGTGCAATATGTTGTTTGATTTCTTGACTGCTGCTTCCAAGGGTGTTGATTGTAGAGCCAAGTAAAATGAAATCCTTGACACTTCAATCTTTTCTCCATTTATCTTGATGTTGCTTATTGGTCCAGTTCTGAGGATTTTTGTTTTCTTTATGTTGAAGTCTAACCCATATAAAAGACTGTAGTCTTTGGTCTTCGTCAGTTCTTCTAGTCCTCTTCACTGTTAGCAAGCAAAGTTGTGTCATCTCCATATCACAGGTTGTTAATGAGTCTTCTCCAATACTGATGACACATTCTTATTCATATAGTACAGCTTCTCGGATTATTTGCTCAGCATACAGATGGAATGAGTATGGTGAAAGATACAACCCTGATACACACCTTTCCTGATGCA